CACTTGACTGCTAACCAGAAGGCTGGTGGTTCAAACCCACCAGCCACTCCTTGGAAGGAAGATGGGGCAATCTACTTCCACAGTGATACTGCCTCAGCAACCCAAGGAGGGGTCAATATGAGTTGGGTATGACTCGATGGCATATAATAACAACAACAATGCCCCATTATAATGATTATAAATGAGTAAATCCAAAACAAAGAGAACACTGGAGATATGGAAACATCACCCAATGAAAGAGAGAGATCAATAATTTTCTGGAGTGAGAAAATAAGATGAAAGGGTGTTGATGGGTGTACACAGAGGGGCTGTAGAGAGACTGGGATTCTGCCTACCCATGGAAACCAGAGACTACAGTCAGGCCCAGAAATTACAGATCAGGACAAGAGTGAGAAGTGAGGCTGAAAATGCATAAGGAGGTGTTAAGTGAAAGTTATTAGGGAAAAAGGTGACTTTTCTATATAGGGAAGTCCCTACCCCTGTAGCTTCAGGCATATGTAATGTCAAATAGCCAGGAATTTTCTCCTCTGAAGAGTTGAATTAACTGCTTAGGATAGTGTGGGTGGGCTTGTTCCCCAGAAGAAAATCTTAATTCTGGCATTTGGAGCTATCTATGTAAGAACTAGCTTCCTCTCCTTCCACCTACCAAATACATCCACAAATTTTTCTAATCAGCCTCTTTACCTCATTCTTGACCATGAATGGGCAGTCAGGGAAACCTGAGTCTGGGTGACAATGTGATGGATGCATAAAAGAGAAAAACCAAAATAAACCAACAGAATATGACTTGGAAGGAAACAAATAATTCAGGGAATATAAAAGGTTATTTTAAGAAAAAAAACTTAATGCTGTAAACACAAGTAAATTTAAGAATAGATTTAATCTATTAGAAAATGAATGGAATTCTGTTTCTTTTTATAAAGACTCAGAAATAAGGAATAAGTTCTTGAAAATTAAAAATGTGGTTACAGAGACAGAAATTCAGTGGAAGAATTCAAAGATAATGTTAAGAAATCTTTTTGTAAGAAGAACTAAAAGACAAATAGAAGTGAAAAGAAAAAAGAGTTAAAGGATTGTTCTAAGATCCAGCATCAGAGTAGCAGGAATACCAGAAAAAGTGAACAGAGAAAATGGAGAGGAAATTATAAGAGAGATAATAAAAGAAAGTGCCCCATAGTTAAAAAGAGGCACTCTTCCAGTTGTTAGGACCCCCAAACTCCCAGGAAGAATAAATTAGAAAGACCCTAGACCTATTGTTTTGAGAAATCAGTGCTCCAAAGACTAAAGGAATATTCTGAATGCTTCCAGGAGATATGTTAGCTTACAAAGGAATAAGAATCAGGCTGAGTGGGTCATTAAATTTCTTATTAGTCAATATAAGAAACAAGAAAATTGGGAAATAAGGGCTTCAAAAGTTCTGATTGAAAGTGATTTTAAAACTAGAGTTTTATGCTAATTGTTAAGTATGAGAGTGAAATAAAGTCATGTTTCAGAAAAGCCAAGGACTCAGAAAATTTACTTTGCTATAAGTCGGGTCCGACTTGACGGCACACAACAACAAAAACAA